GATTTTGATCCAAAAAAAATATCCACGTGAGAACTAGAATCTCTGAAGGGATTTCTGTAAGTAGACCCTTGTAATTCTTTATTTTTTTGCTGTTTTTGATGAGAAATATTGTTGTGCTATATTTGGAACAATATGCACATTTGCCAAAACTCTCGTTCGAAAAATGCATCCCGAAATTTCGTTTATTTCAGAAAATGGATTCAAAATAATAAAAATAAGAATCATCCTATTCGGAAACGGGGTAATTTAGTCATATCGGATGAAGATCTAAAATTTCTTAGTTTTACTGACATGCCACCTGAATAAGAAAACTTAGACTCTCCTTATGCATTTTTTAACTTTTTCCTAACAAAGAAGATGATCACGGATATAGTTTACCAAAGTATATAATATTCAACTCAAACCAGACCACAAAAACCTTTGGATCTTACTGAAAAGGACCTCGAACAATTTATAGGGACCTGTATTTATATGACAAGAGTGCAATTACCTAGTTCTAGAAGTTATTGGAACCTGAACCTGAATCATCGCTTGATCTTAGATGTTATGTCATGCAATAGATGGGCAGAAATAAAACGGTTTTTGCACTTTGAGAATAATGACGACGCTGTTGCAGCCGACAATCCTGGTCATGATACACTTTGATACACTTTTTAAAATACGACCAGTACTCAGTAAACTCAGTGAGCAACTACTCAAAGTTCCAAAAGAAGAGTATTTGGCTATAGACGAGCAGATTATTCCTACAAATGCGCGTTCATATATAAAACAATATAATTTCAAAAAACCTCACAAATGGGGATATAAGGCGTCTGTTCTTAGTGGTGTCAGCGGATTTTCATATGATTATAAAATTTTCGCAGTAAACCAAATCAATATTCTCCCCAATGGTTTTCCTGATCTGGGAACGAGTTCAAACGTTCCAAGGCACGTAAATCACAAACTATTTTTTGATAACTGGTTCAACAGCGTCCCACTAAAAATTTACTTGGCACAAAATAGCATGTTACCGCTCGGACCGGTTAGAATAAACAGAGTGCCAAACTGCAATACGCCAAAAGAGAGTGAACTGAAAAAGAATGGCCGTGGAGAGATGCTGGAAAAGATTTACCTCTGGCAAATTGCAAAATGGCAATGGCGGAGTGTTTGTGTAAATTCAATAAAGCCAGCTCAACAAAGAAAAGAGGCCGCCCCAGTGAAATCATAGATAACTTGCAAAACAACAAAAAAAGGGACCCGATATCAGATTTTCCCATACAAGAGGTTCGAAAAGATCAATATGGCCATCTTCCAGTATGGTGTGATGATCGGCAAAGGTGCAAATCTTCTTGTGGTGGAAAGTCTTTTATCAAGTGTGAAACATGAGATGTTTATCTTTGCATGAACAAAGACAGAAACTGTTTTTATAACTTTCATACTGTATAACTTTTGGTGTATTATTGCATATTGTGCCATATATGACCTATAAAAAAATACCAAAGCAAAATAAAAATAAGTTAATAAATAATTTTTTAAATATTTTTACCGTAATCCTGATTTTTTCCATATAGTGCATTTTTTCCATAAAAAAACAAAAAAATCATGCGGTAAGGGGTTAATGTCAAAATCAAAATTGAAGTCGTAAGTCGTAAAATTGTTTCTTATGATAAATAATAAATATCTACAAATTCACATTATTGAGATTTTGCAAAATATCTAGAATATAACTACAATCTGCATTGTTACAGTTTTTTACTGGTTACATGTCTCCAAGTACTATACTATTTCACTTCATAATATAAGAATAAGGATAGTATGATTTTTAATTAAGTTTATCAATAATAAACCCTGGTTACCTGAAATATCTCTTAAACCACATAATAAAATATGTCCTACGTTTAGTAAATAAATATATCGAGATATTTGTAGCAACCAAATAAGTGAAGATTTACAATAAATTAGTCATGAACACATGCTAAATATTATGTTTATGACGAAAGCACTGGAACTATACTCGGACAAAATATTGGAGAAGGTGAGTCATATGCATGATCAACACTGTTGTCTATGAATGAAAATTCCGACAGAGTTAGCATAGGCGGCGTATCAAATACCAAATAATTATTTATTAGGTATTTTTTAGTAAACTTTATTAAATTTGTTTGTCAACATCTTTATTTAAACAAAGATGATGCGTTAAATATACGTTTTTGATAGTTTTAAAGAAATGAATATATGTATTCCCTAATGACTTCGTTATCTGTGTTTAATGGTTTTAAAATGTGTTTCAAGTAAAAAAACGACAGACGGGTTACAGATTGAATATTGTCAGTACAGGCACAAAGACAGTTGAAAACTAACTTTCGACGAAGTTAGATTTGTATCGCTATAACTATTTACGATAATTATTTTATATTTTATAAACACTTTTTTGTATAAGTGCTCTTTTCTGATATACGAGTAGGTGTTCATGTTTGTGCCTTACAATTTGGTAGTGGTAGTGCATATTTGAGGAGTTATATTTATTGTGTAGTATATTAGGTAGGTACTTTAAAAGTTTATTAAATAGTAAAATATTGGTGTCTTTATAAATTTAATAAAAACAATTTAATAGTAGAATTATATTATTATGATAGTAATGGATTCAGAGGCGGATCCAAGTGAAACCCAAGTACGTCGGCAAAAGCCCTTATCAAAGGATGAAAAGAACATTTATCGAAAGTGTATGATGAGCTGAAACAGACACTTCCTACAAATGAAGCTGTAAAGCGCAGTTATTTTTTAACTGGAGTATCTGTTTTGTACGTATTGTACGCGAAAAGACAAAAAAAGGCTCCCTAGAAGCCCCTAAAACGCATACCCGTGGTCGAAAATTGTTTAAATTGGACGATAACCAAAAACAAATCATTCGAAGAACTGTACATTCTTTTTTTTCGAAAACAAAGCCCCAACACTTAAAGTTGTTCTTACGAAAATAAAGGAAAACGAAGAAATTCCATTAATGAGCCGTGAAACTTTACGAAAAATTTTATGGGGCCTAAAATTTCATTTTGTCAAACGGCGTAGGAAATCAATTTTAATTGAGAGGTCAGATATAGTGTCCTGCCGACGACGTTATTTACGAAATATTAGAGTTTAGAGCCGCTAAAAAAAGATATACTATCTCGATGAAACGTGGGCGAATGCTGGACACACGGTATCTAAGAAATGGCAAGATACTTCTGTAACTAGTCATCGTCAAGCTTTTATAGAGGGATTATCTACAGGTTTGAAAGCACCATCAGGTAAAGGACAGCGCCTAATTGTTACCCATATCGGAAGTGACAGTGGATTTTTGGAAAATAGCGCTCTTGTGTTTATATCGAAACAAAGGAGACTACCACGAGGACATAAATGCGGAATGCTTTGAAAAATGGTTTACTGAAGTATTACAGCGGTAGAACGAAATTCAGTTATTGTACTAGATAACGCTTCTTATCACAGTCGCCGAGTTGAACGCATTCCGATAATGTCCAGTAGGAAAGCGAATATGCAAACCTGACTGCGGGATAAAGCAATAAAATTTACTGAGGTGATGCTTAAAGTGGAATTAATGGACCTAATAAAGGAACACCGCCATAAATATATTCAATATGTTGTCGACACAATGGCTCGTGATCGTATTTTTATAATAAACAAAATACAATTATAAACATAGATGAATTAATATAACAAAAATAGATAACCAAACTACTTTCATCTAGTAATATTCACAAATACCCATTTAATTTGCCAATATAGTATTTCTGCGATACAGGAAGAGTGCATTTTGATATGATAACGATACCTTTTGCAGTTTTAAGGCGCACCTTCTTCAATATTTTGTTCTAGTATTTTAATTTTTCAATAGTGTTTCTACGCCACTGGCATAATATTTACATATTTTAACAATAAACAAAACAAAATTATAAACAAATGATTATTACTACAAAAATAGATAACCAACCTATATTCATATAATATTATTTACTATTACCGCATTTAATTTGCCAATAGTTTTTATACGCCACTGGCGTAATTCATTTTGGCAATAAACATGCATTTATGACTAGTTGGCACGTGATTTATTATGCTCTGGTATAGTAGGATTGTTGTACGTGAACAGGAAGGAATCACCTTCTTCAATATTTTGTACGAGTATAAACAATTAAAACGAGTTAAAAATATCACAAATACAAAATCCCGCCTAAAACAAACACTGTAAATAAACAAATATCCTACTTATAGGTGACAAATGACAGGCGAGCGAAAATTAATTTGAATCGTGAATAGTAGTGACACAGTTTATAGCTATAAACTGTGGTACTGATGAGTGACTCAAACTTTGCAAAATGTGCAAAATGTAACGTCCTCGATGACTTTTCTCACCGTCTTAAAAGTTGTGGAATAGCGAAAAATGTATGGGATTGAAATAAAAAATGCATAACAAATAAATTTAAAACAGGCAATGAGAGTAGTAATCCAAAAGAAATATTTCATATCGAATTTTCAAACGAATTAGATTCAAATATATGGTGTTGGTTCTACAACGCGATAATTTATAATAACTTGGAACATGTAAGAGATATTTCAGAATTTACAAATATTTTAAGAAGAGAGAGATGGTTAAAAATTAGTTCAGGTAATATAGTTAATTTTTCTAAGAAAATCTTCACTTTTTAAAATATTTTAGAATCTGTAATACCAACTAGCCTTAGTCTTTTTTTTTATTTTTGTTGTATATACTTTTATCAATGTAAAAATGTAGAATTTAATTTGATAAATAAATGGTTTTAAAAATAATAAAAAAAATGTTAAAATTATGATGAACAAAAATTTATCACAATCAATGAAAAACTTTGTGCAAAATCTATTAACATTAACAATATACTTTCAGCATTAAACCATCTTCAGTACTTATCTACAATAAGTATTTACAAATTTAAAAGGTAACTATTTAATAATGATTATTTAATAATAGATGTAAATGTGAAATGGTTTACCTATACTCTAAAGAACAATTTCTCGTCTTATTCGACTAATACCTCAAAAATTCAAAGGATTCACAACTTTTGTTCCTCTGAAACTGTTAAAACCACTATTGGAAACAAACTGACTTTTGTAGCACGCGAATCGTTGCCTTTTGTGATAGAATTACACGCAGTGAATGGAGGGCGGAGTTAAGGGGTTTAATAGATAAGGTTATATTTGATGCCTTTGATAAGTTAAATTGATTTTGGTTGAAGTTTTGCAATTTCGTATTTTAGCACGCCGTTAGTGCGCAATGTGGTAAATTTTATTGAAGGTATTTACAGCACTTTACTGCTATTAAGCACGCACACGTGTACATGCAGAAAGAGGGATTCTAATTTTGCTTTTGTGTTGTGGTGTTATTGCCTTTCAGGGCCGGCTGCAGTAATAATTAGTCTAGGTACGAAAGGTACCTAATATCTTGTTTTCTTCTGTTAGTTTATTTATAAATGAAACTATAATTCATATTTTAATTTTTAAACTCTTCATTACATTTGCCATTAGTAATTTCTAATTATTAAATAAATAAACAGCCGACAAATTTAATATATAGGGCATAGGGCAACTAGTTTCGGCCAGTGGCCGTTATTAATAAAAGTAGACTGGATATAGAGGATTCGCAACTGATAATAAAAATTCAAATTATTTTTGTTTTAAATTTTGGGAAGGTATTATATAAATTGATTAAACAATATATTTTAATAAGTGAAATGTGGAACAATTACATAAAATAAATTATTTTAATATAACAAATGAAAAAGGTTAGAACTAGAGAGTTGTAATTAGATTGTTAGAAGATTATATAAAGTACTTAACAATATTGATAACTACAAAACAAAAATAAAAAAAAGAAGAGTCTAGAAAACCGAAACCACATTCTTTAATGGTTACACTTCTATTGTTTTTTTTATTGTATTTCTTTTAGGCTTGATGATGGCTATTGGCCGAAACTATTTGTCCTATGCCCTACATAATACCTTTAATTTTCGACTGTAATAAAGACTTTGTATTTTCTTTTATCCTTTTACGGATTATACAATATTTATGTAATGGAAAACTTGCTAATTCTTACTAAATAATTGTACGAGTCAAAAATTAAAATAGTTTCTTCTGATTGTTTTTATCTATAGAAAAACTAACAATTAAAGAAATAGGTGATGCTTCAAGTGAACATTTACTTCATCTCACTAAGATATATTTTCCATAAGCCATATAGAAGCCGGAAGTGGAAGATACGATTCAAATCTACACCGATGGTTCTAAAATAAAACAGGGTTCAGGATGTGGAATATACTCCAAATTTTTGGTTTAAATATGTCCTGACATTATGCGAAAAATGAGCTGGAGCATCATCTAGCTGTAGCCACATTTTTCGTCTAATATCCAAAAGAAGGTTCCAGGAATCTTTCTTTAAAAATGTAAAAAATGTCTTCCTATCATTCCACCATAAACGTTTAACGACCATCGGTTTTGTCGATCTACAGTTAGAAATTCATGTTTATTTTAGGTGCTGTAATAATGAAAACTACAAAACGATTGCTTGATATATTTGTAACGCGTCCTCTCATTTTCCTTGTCTAAGATCTATACAGATAGCAGACAATCTCTACTCAACCTCGACAGATTACGAATTTACTCAGGGTTAGTACTGAAATGTCCCGAAGCTTTGGCCGATGTATCCATCCACACTGTGGTTACCATAAGATGGATTAAAGGTAACGCCACATTAAAAGGTCTTGCTGCTTCACTAGCCAAGATAGCAGCCAGCCAAATACTTGTTGGACTTAGGCCTTCTATTTGACTGACAACATCAATATTGACAAACTTAATTAAACAACAATCCCTTGTGAAATTCAAGGAAAGATGGGATGAAACAAGAAGCTGTAGAGTTACCAGGGAAGTTTTAAGTTATCCTGACAACATACAACAAGCAAATACTTGACTATGATTAGTGAGAATATGCACCTGACCACAGAGATTCTGAACTGGATACTGCTGTCAGAATCCGCACTTTGAAGGGGGTGGAAACAAGAAGATGAGACCATCGAGCAAATCCTATATGATTGCCCGATGCCCTTCGTTTATTAAAATATTTTTGTTCGGCGAGAATTGACTAACACCCGCCGATATCAGAAAAGAATTTCTTGGCGATGTTGTCAACTATATTAAATATAAAATAGTCAAAATTAGGGGTGTTTTGCAACTCCTCAGTACTTATGAACAGTCGCCACTGAATGCGAATTAATTTCAGGACAGGACTTTTTGTAGTTTTATCTTTTACCGGAGTTAAAAAATAAATTGTATGAGTTTTGTCATTTACAGGATTTTATTTTTGTACTTTCGTACGTTTTTATCCTAAAAAATACTGCTTTTTTAGTATCTTTATACAGATGTTGAAGGCCAGCCTTTACTTAAATGATCATAACTTTTTTCTTTTAATCGGATTTTATTATTTAAACAACGGATTAGTAGGATTTTGTCTTTTGGAAAATTTTCGTCAAGTTGTTTTAAATTTATTTGAGTTTAATTAAAGAAAATCCAATATTTTTGTATTTCTCCTAATGGGATTCGGTGGGATTTTTTTTTATATAAAGCCCATGGTATATAGAGAAGATTCTGAGAAAATCAGCTTGTCCCAAATTTGCTTGAGGTTGGGGTCTAAATCATCTTAGATTTATTGGCCTAATTTATTGACCTAATACCAAGACTTATAAAAATAGAATTTGATTAAACTTACAACCTAGTAATAATGTTGTTTTTGTACTTAGTTTTCATTATAAATCCGAACAAAATAATTAAAACACAATACATGACAAAATAACCTACTCTTTTGAAAACTAAATAACTTTTATAATCCATATAAACTCACTACAAGTCATTAAGAATAAATAATTAATATCATGTTCTATTTGTCAATAAAATAAAAGTTGCACAAGCAACTATCAACACAAGAAAGTAGTAATATTGGTTGCCTAGATGTCAGTAATTTCTTACCAAAACACAATTCTATAAATAATCATGTCAATATTAGAAAAAACATTGTATGTATCACTCGTTTCATAAAATAAGCCATTTCGTAACTTGTTTCATAAATAGCTATTGAAATCAATAATTGTATTAAATCTCTCGCCTCGGAAACTACAATGTAATTATTCTTGTCATGATACGTACATAGGTAGAACTGACCAGAGCAATCTATGTACGAATTAAAGATCACCTTACTATGGTTGATTATTTGTCACCATTTTAAGTACAATAATCACATTCTTCCTCCGTCTATATATAGGGTGTGTGAAGTTAGCATCTCAAATCTTAGCATCTCATATTTTGAGCAGAGTTCTTATGGCATCCGATATAGTTCTATAGTTCCTGATACTTTCTATCAATAGTTCTGTCGAATTTAGTGCCGAAAAATGCAATTTAAAAAATGAGATCCCAATATAAAAAATAAAATAAAATTAAAAAAAGCGGACTGTTAATCGATAGTTTACGAAGAGTTCTAGAGTCCTTGTTCGTTTGAATAGCCAAATTATTTCATTTACAGCTCTGGCACTCTTAAAATAATTATAAGTAATGATTATACACATAAATTCTGGGCGATAGTAAAATGCTGTCATATTATGACAACTTCTAGAACACATATTGCCCCTAAAGTACAATGCTTCTAAATAATAACTTGACTCTCTCTATATTGAGACCCATAGAGTTCTAGAATCTAGCATTTTTGAAAATTTTTAAGTATTATTATTAAATAGAAATTAAAGACCATAGTGAGATGCTGCCATATTATGTCGAGTTCTAGAATATACAATGCTTCTAAATGATAACTTGACTCTCTCTGCATGGAATCCCGAAGAGTTCTAGCCTCTAGAACTTTTTGGATAATTTTAAGTATTAAGAGGAGTATTTACTTGGCTGTAGAGCGGAGCATGCAAGGGTTTCGTAGTACCCCACTTTTAAAGTTTATTTTTGACTTATTCTGAAAGAAAAAAATATGTGCGTGTAGGTAAAGGATAAATCTATGCTCCTCTGGAAACACTTTTTTAAAATTTGAAACAGTTTTTTCTAAAAAAAAAATACAAAACTCGACTTCTTTTACCCATTTTCTCAATTTTTTTTAGAAAAAACTAAATTGAATTTTGAAAAAGTGGTTCCAGAGGAGCATAGATTCAACCTTTACCTACACACACATATTTTTTTATTTTAAAAATAGTCAAAAATAAACTTTAAAAGTGGGGTACTACGAAACCCTTACATTGCAAGATTTTTCGCCTGGAAAGTGGCGCCTCTGTTAGATTTTTAAGAAATTAATATTTGTGAATGAAAACAATTTATAATATATTTTACTGATGTTTTACGAGGGATGAATAAATTTTACGTATTTGTACACCTTATTTTTTACGTAATTTATTTCTGTAATACTAAGATTGGCATATATATTATATGCAAGGGTTTTATAGTACACCAATTTTACGGATTATTTTTTAATTTTACTAAAAGAAATTTTATGTAAGTACAGGTAAAGGCTTAACCCATACCTCTCTGGATTTACTTTCAAAATATGAATCAGTCTCTTTTGAAAAAATCTAAGAAAAGAAACGAAAGCCACCCGATATGGCATGGACCAAAACAAAATAAGATTTGGAAATTTATTTGCAAGTAAAAGTTTAAATGTGGACATATAATTGAATTCGAATTTAATTATGTTGCTGCCAGTCTGGATGGAATTAAAAAAAAAAACAAAACTCTATGATAGAGTTAAAATGTCCATATGGAGCTGAAGTGCGGACTGTAGCAGAAGAAATATGCAGTAGAGAAATAACTTTTTGGAAAAAGAACAATTCCATTAAGGAGAACCACTATTGGTATTTTCAAATTCAGGGCTAGCTGCACATAACACAAATGGATTTTTGCATTTTGTGCTTTTGGACTTCTGGAGAAATAGAAGTAGAGAAAATATCTCATATTGACAGCTTTTGAGAAAAAAAGATACAAAATAAAATTAAAATTTTTTATATGCAATATGTCTTGCCGGAACTTGTTGACAGCGAAGCAATAGAGA